AAAAAAAAAGGTAATTAGTTAAAAAAGTAGTGATAAATAATAAAAGAACAATATTTTTTATAATTTTACGTGATTTTTGATAAAAATTTAAAACTTCATAAACTTAAAATTGAAATATCTCAAGCAGTATTGAAGTTAGCGATTAAGCGCTAATGAGCTTTTTTGTAATACAATTTCCTACTAGAAATATTTCTTTGCAAGGTACTAATATATGTTCCAAATATGAACCAAATCGATTCAGCCGTTTAGTAGTTCAGTGACATACAATATATAGAAAACTCTATGGAATTGTGAAATCGTGACGTCTCACAGTGCTGTGTCTCCATATAAAAAGTGGGCAAAAATAGAATAATAGACGGATTTGAGTAAAAATTCGTTTCTTGGTGGATTAGAGTACGGAGATTTCAAAAATCTTTTTTTTTTACCTAGCTCTTACATTTTTCATGGAAACTGAGATTGAAACTGCAAAATTTGATATTCAGAAGTAGTTCCAATACTGAGTAGTTATTTTATTATTTATACAGGGCGTTTTCCTAATAATATTAAAGACTTCAAGGCTTCATTCTATGGCTTAATTCATGGCAAAATGGATTCCCTATATGTCTCTTACGCAAACCCTCTAGGAATGGCAGCTACTTTAATTTTGGTCCTTTTTGACTACAAAATGTTTTTTTAAATTGATTATATCTTTTGGTGTGGATGTCACACGCTTAAAAAATTTGATTCATTCAAGACGACATTAAATACTCAAAAGACAAATATAATTTTGTTTTCCTTTTTATTAGTTACTTCGCACGAACAAGAGTTGTTGCAAAATACTGAATCAAAAATTATTTGTTTTATCTAACGCCGTTTATTGAAAAATTAAAGTCATCATGCAGTCAAATTCCAAACTACTCAGCAAACACACTAGTTCATTGACTATATATTTTGTGGTGTATTCATACATGAATTGTGGTGTATTCATACATGAATTTTGTGGTGTATTCATACATGAATTCATTCATGAATTTCGGGTTGAAATCATACTAGTCAGAAAAAGTGTAATCTATACTAGAAATCATACTAATCAGAAAAATCCCATCCCATAGTATACCAACTGGAATGAATGTCAAATTCGTGGACTAGTATGACAAGTGGTAGGATCTTGACGTGCATACTGACTAGTATGTTCTGGCGCATAGACTGAGTAGTATGTCAACTGCTATGATTCTGATGTATATAATGACTAGTATGCCAACAGGTACGATCATGACGTATATACGAACTAGTATCTTAAATGGTATGATATTGATGTATATATTGACTAGTATGTCAACTGATATATTGCTGATGCAGAGGCTGACTAGTATGCCAACTGGTATAGTGCTGATGCAGAAGAGGACAATTGCCATCTCGTAGGACATCGCCGTGGCCAGTTGCTTATATGGAAAAATTACAGAACTCGAACTAGTTGAGGCCGTGTGGCTGACTAGTATTTGATTAGTATAAAACTAATTGAGTTGACTGAAGGGTACTTATTACTTTTAAGTTTCTTCAGCATCGACTAAATACTCTTCCAGCTCGTCCATTGTATAAACTGCATTTTTGTTTGGGATAGCACTCCTTTTAAAAACTACTTCAGGATCTGATGATATTGTTAAGTATGACATCAAGTCTCTGTTTGTATGCTCCCGAGCAGTTTTACGTGTATGATCATATCGTACGATACGTATGTGTTTATGTAAAGCTTCCAGAGCTTCCTCTGAAAAATTGCCTGTGGGAATAAATTCGTAGTAGTAAAAAATGCCGAATAGCAACAAATCGATTTTCTTACCAATTGGTAGATCGAAATACTCAATAACCTCACACCCATGCATCAATATTTTATGCACGCTGCTAGGCATGTAGTACCATTCGTATTCAGTCAAATACATTGTTCTTGTCCTTATAAGGAGCTCTCTAAACGCGTCGATATTAATACGCATTCCACACGATATTAATCGCAGTATTATTGAAAAATTTTGAATTAGCTCTTTATTAATGCCGGTAATTTCTGATGCCACTTCTGCATTTGAAAAAAATTTGCGAGCTGTGTTGCCATCATTAGTTGTTCCAAATCCAGTCTTTACTTGGTCCACTATTAAGCCTAATCTTGTCCTAAACTCATTTTGAATCCTAACTTTATTCGCAGAAAAGGCGTCTTTGTTTTCTTTGCGAACTTGCCAGCATTTAAATGTTAAACGGTATGCGATGTGGAGTAAACACTCAAAACATCTAATCCAAGCATGCAGTGTAGACAACCCATACTTGTAATGATTAGCGATTGGTACTTTTGTAAAATTAGTAACATTCATTTCGGTCGGTTTGGCATGGCAAATAAAACAGTTACTGGAAGCATTAGTGCCAGTCAAAATATTGGCAACAGATCCATCAATCATGGTGCAATGCATTTGATAAGAAACTTGAATCCCTTTTCCGTTTCGTATTACAACATCATCTTCTAAGTTCTCAATTTTTCTCGACATATCATTATATTCGAATAGAACTAGTTCGCGGTTTTCCTTCTTGAAACTAAACTTAATTGGACGACAATAAAAAGACGATGAGCATTTGTTATTGGTCCATATATTTTTGTTGGATGACAAATCAATTAACCTGGAAAAAATATTTATTTTTTAATAACTTATATGGCTTGTCGAAAAGATATAAGACCGTCATATCGCAAAATAGCTAATCGAGTAAATTAATTAATTCAGACCAGCCTTTTGCAAAATAATACTGTAAAAAGTTGTCAATGTAAATTAAAATGCCATTTACTGATCTAAACTCGAATTTATTTTTAAAGGCTATTGAATGTTTTTGGAAGACATATTAGATAATTTTTTGTTACCTCAGAGGGACTAGCGCAATGATGAACATAAACTCATCCGTTAATTTGTCGTCACCAAAATTTTGCTTATAGCGGCTATGCCCCGAACTTCCATCCATGCCCCACTTACAAACCAAAGAAGCTTTGGTTATGTCACCATTATCTGGGCTTAGTTCTAAAATACTTTGCGTTGTTTTCAGCAATAATGATTTCAGATCAACTTCGGCTGAATATTCAGTCGATTTAATCGTTGGCAGCAAAGTTTGTTTTTTTGTTTGCAATGCGTTTAAGCTCGGTATACAATCTTTATGCAACCGGTTTATTTTTGCACGTAAACTATTATATTTACGATCTGATAAGTTCAGATCTATGTATGTATAGTGCGAGTGAATCAGATATGGGCAAACCTTCGGTACTACTTTCAAAACATTCAACTTTGCTTGCTTTTTTCATTTTTTTCAGAGCATACTCGAGCTCTTCGATGGAATAGTTTTTCAACAAATGCTCTACCCTTCGATTTTTTGTTCTCCGTGAAGCTTCGCAAAATTCTTCTTTAGAAGGTCTTCCCCGTTCAGCACATTTATCCTTATTTCCATTGGAATCCGGAAGGGAAAGGAATGTCCAATTTAGCCATTTAGAATATGTTTTTTCAAAAGCGCTTCTTTTGCGGCCACTATAATTCCACTTATTTTTCATCTCACTATTAAAAAGTTTTATTTTTTGATTCAAAAGTGCTTTGTCGCATTTAGCGTGTATTAATTTGTCTTCAAAAAATGCAGATAATGCAGACACTCTATCTGATGGACGAGTAGAAATCCAGATATCAGCTAAAATTGAGTTTTTTATAATTGAATTCATATTAATATTAGTTTTTTCACTATTTTACGCTTCACTACACAGCACAGAACACTACCGCGTGTGTCTACAGTAATAAACTTTACTATTTTTTAAGAATGTTTTGGCATTTAAGTAATGGAAAATACTGTGGTAACTGTAATCAGTGAAATTTTTTTTTTGCAAAAGTTTATTTTATAACCTTAAAAAAAACGATTTTCTTCGAAAAGCGCAATGAGTCTGCAGACTTTTTTTTTTATTTCAAAGAAAAATGCCCCTTCTTTCAAATAAAAGAATAAAAAAAAAACATACTTTTACATATTTTTTTTTATCCCTTTGTAAACTTAGGAATTTTTTAAATTTTCTGCAACAAATTTTAGGGTGTAGCAAATAGGCCATTCCAGCCAGGAAACTCAATATTTTTTAAAAAGCTCTATAGAGTGGTTTCCTTACAGATTTTCTAATTAGAAAAATTGTGTCTTAAGATAAAGTATGATAAATTGTATTTTTAGAAATTTTTTTTTAGAGACTCCAGCTAAAGGCATTTTCATAAAAGAAAAAATATATAAAAAACACACAACTTTAAGAGGTTTTTGTGAGAACCTTATGAGATAAAAACAAAAACTAAGTCCAGATCCTTAATCTAGGATAAATTTCCTTTCCAACGATACCAAACACGTTGACATACGTGACAACAATTTTTTTGATTTTTGCCCGCTCATACAGCACTGTGCGTCTCAGCTTTCTTCAATTTTTGGCAACAACAAAAAGTTTTGAATTTTTTATCGAAAAACCTTCCACACACAAGGTCAAAAAACGCACTTTTTACAGAACTGAAATTGGTTCAGCCGTTTGGTCAGGCATCGCCGTCATACGGAAAACATTTCATTTTTATATATGTAGATGCGTAAACGAGTTTCCATAAAAATTTTTACTGTTAATTTATAAGGTTTACACAATTATAAGTTTATACGGTTTAAAATGCATTTATAAGGTTTGATGAATACAGTATATTTTACTTTGCTGCCTTTATGCTTAAGTGCACATTTGAGATACGTACCGCAAAATGCGCATCAGCGGCATTATTTTCAACCTTTATAAGGAAATTAGCAGACCCGGCGAACTTCGTACCGCCCAAAATTTTTATTTTTTTATTGAAACTTTTTGGTCCATCATTTTCACCAACAATTCACGTTTACGATTTTCATTGTCACATTCATCTGCTAAGATTATGGTTTCGTGGTCATTTGCCGCTTTTAATAACGTAACAAAAGTGTTATATCCGTGAAGAAGTACTTGAAATGCTCCAACTGTGCAGCATTTCATAGCACGGTTATTCGCAAAACGAAATAAATTTAAAGAATTTTTTCCTCTTTACTCCCTGGCGGCGGCAATGACCCGGTTCTATAGCCAATCTGTCCTGTTCCACATTACATCACTGTCCTAGAAGCTTTAGAGTATAGTTGGTGGCAATTTCAAAATGGGTGCGAATCATTGTTCTACAGACATGCAATATACATATACTTATTTTGGACGAAATACCTTAAAAGCTTGAACGCATAATAATATTGGGAAATCACAACCATTGGGCCAATCGTAACACAGGAGAGTTCGATATACTCAATAGTGCAACAGGTCGATTTAATCTAACCTTGACGGCACCTTTTCACACTTTGTTATTTTTTAGTAATAACTCGACTCCAGCGCCACTTGGCAGCACGTTTTTGCAATAATATTGCTCTTACCATTACCAATACATATTTAAAATATTAACCAAATCGGATCATAAATAAGATTTTTAGTAATAACTCGACTCCAGCGCCACTTGGCAGCACGTTTTTGCAATAATATTGCTCTTACCATTACCAATACATATTTAAAATATTAACCAAATCGGATCATAAATAAGATTTTTAGTAATAACTCGACTCCAGCGCCACTTGGCAGCACGTTTTTGCAATAATATTGCTCTTACCATTACCAATACATATTTAAAATATTAACCAAATCGGATCATAAATAAGATTTTTAGTAATAACTCGACTCCAGCGCCACTTGGCAGCACGTTTTTGCAATAATATTGCTCTTACCATTACCAATACATATTTAAAATATTAACCAAATCGGATCATAAATAAGATTTTTAGTAATAACTCGACTCCAGCGCCACTTGGCAGCACGTTTTTGCAATAATATTGCTCTTACCATTACCAATACATATTTAAAATATTAACCAAATCGGATCATAAATAAGATTTTTAGTAATAACTCAACTAAAGCGTCAACTGACGGATTAAATTGTGAAACTAAACCATCCAGAGACCCACTCAAACACACACACAAAATTTCGTTAAAATCCGTACAACCATTTAGGAGGATTTCATTCACAAACACCCCTACAGAAGAATTATAAATATGTACATTCAAAGATAGCTAAAAGTCGGCACGTTTGTAGGCCTCCCGCACCCTTTTCAAATAGCCCAAATTTTCTCAATGAGTATGGATTTCATATGGATACTTACATATCTCCATACGAAGTTCCAGTACTGTACCATGAATACTTTCAGAGATATGAAGTATAAAACTTCGATTTGTATGGAAGGTGCCACGCACCCTTTTCCAATAGCTCCCATTTTTCTTCATGAGTATGCAATATATCTCCATACTAAGTTCCAATACTCTACCATGGACATTTCCAGATATATGCAGTATGGAAAATTCGGTTTGTATGGGAGGTGCCACGCCCCCTTTTACAATAGCTCCAATTTTTCTCCAAGAGTATGCGGTTGATTTCGTTTATCTCCATACCAAGTTCCAGAACTCTACCATGAACACTTCCAGAGATATGCAGTATGAAAAATTCGGTTCAATGGGAGGTGTCACGCCCCCTTTTCCAATGTCTCCAATTTTTCTTCAGGATTATGGGATTGATTTCTTATATCTCGATACCAAGCTCCAGACCTCTACCATGAACACTTCCAGAGATAAGCAGTATGAACAATTCGGTTTGTATGGGAGATGCCACACCCCCTTTTACAATAGCTCGAATTTTTCTCCAAGAGTATGAGATTGATTTCCTATATCTCCATAGTTCCAGAACACTACCAAGAACACTTCAAGAGATCTGCAGTATTAAAAATTTGGCTTGTATGGGGGTGCCACGCTCCCTTTTACAATAGTCCGCAATTTTCTTCAAGTGTATGCAATTGATTGCATATATAGCCATACTAAGTTCCAGTATTCTACCGTTAACACTTTCAGAGATATGCAGTATGAAAAATACGGTTTGTGTTTGAGGTTACACGCCCCCTTTTCAAATAGCTCCAATTTTTCTCCAAGAGTATGCGATTGATTTCGTATATCTCCATACGAAGTTGCAGAACTCTACCATGAACACTTCCAGAGATGCGTAGTATGAAAAATTTGGTTTGTATAGGAGGTGCCATGCTCCTTTTCGAATGCGATTGATTTCCTATATCTCTATACCAAGTCCCAGAGCTCTACCATGAACACTTTCAGAGATATGTAGCATAAGAAATTCGTTTGTATGGGAGTTTCCACGCCCCCTTTTCCAATAGCGCCAATTTTTCTCCAAGAGTATGCGATTGATTTCGTATATCTCCATACGAAGTTGCAGAACTCTACCGTGAACACTTCCAGAGATATGGAGTATGAAAGAATTCGGTTTGTATGGGAGGTGCCATGCCCCCTTTACATATAGAACTTTTTTTAGCCTAAAGCCATCCTTGGACATGTGCGGCAGCTGTCTGCAAATTCAAAAAAATTGGTTCAGCCGTTCTCGGACTTAGCGAACACTAAAAAAACGTATTTCAAAATATATATTAGTATAGGTATATTATATATTATTATTATGTTTTGGCTGTTCTGATTGTCGCAAAAAAAACTTGCCTAGTGACGAATTCGCCCCTTGATATGGTGGTTGCTCAAAGCTCTTTACATTCGAAACTGCTGGAAAACTGGAAAACCGGATCCTATAAGCTTATCTAGGCAAAAAGCTACATACATACAAAATTTTAAGCAAATCTGACCATAAATACGATTTTTTCGAATAGATCGTTCCCTGGTCCACTTCCCGGAAAAAAAGGATCCTATATGCTACCTAGATTAGAAAAAGGCTACCTACGTACCAAATTTTAAGCAAATCGGACCATAATAAAATTTTTTCGAATAGATCGGCCCCTGGTCCACCTACCGGAAAAAAGTAAATTTGGCCTAATCTATTTATATACAAAATTTCATGAATATCGGACCAGCCGTTCGCGGGATTACCTGTTACAAAAAAAGGGACGTCTCTTTATATATTAGTATAGACTACAACGATAGATGCATTCAACATAACAAAAACGAAAATAACGCAAAATTTGCTTTATTTCACTTTTAAATGGGAAATAATACCAAAATCTGAGTTTTGCTTTATTTCCAACAAAGGTTTTCTGTCATTCGGCTCTCTTATAGTCACATTTTATAGGCATGTTTTCAAATAAAGCAGTGTCAAAATATTTCTTCTCACTCTAATATTAGTTGTGTTTTCGTGTTCTCCGGCAAAAAATATGAAGGAATGAAACCGATTCAAAATAACGTTCCGGTTTGGGTTTCGGTTTTGCCAAATGTTTCGGTTTCGGTTTTGGTTTCGTTCTTCAAAATTTATTTCGGTTTTGGTTTCGGTTTCGTTCCGGTTTCGGTTTTTCACAGAAATTTGGTTGACATCATTTAAATCACAATGTCTTAAACGTGGAGGATAGAAAATCGAAAATTACAGTTCACTGATAATATCAACACTAGGTTCTTTCCCTAACAATCCGGACCGGATTTGGTAATTAGAGAATAAGAAAAACATTTTCTTTCAAAAATGGAACAAAGTTCAGAAGTACGGAAACGCAAAAACCCACATTTCGTGCCCACAAGTCGAGAAACAGTGGATTCACGTTGTTCTTGTTTTTGTCAATTATACCATGTTCTGACCGACATCGGAAACATGTTTTCGTTGCTAAAACTGGTTTTCGACCTAAAACTTGTGTTTTCGTCCATATAAAATCTGTTAAACGAAAACCAGTTTTCGCTGAAAACTACTTGAAAACTCACTTTCCACTCATTCCAATCGGTGTCTTCACTAGTTTTTTTCGATTATTTATCGAAGTGGAAGTCATATTTTATCATCTTTAATACGCCATTTCGGATTTATTGTTAATTGCCTGGCCAAAGCAAAATAAGAATGAAAGTTAAAGGTTGTAAATGAAAAGAAAATGAAGGAAAAATGTTTTGGTTGTCG